AATTAAGATAAAAACCACTCGATTCAAACAATTATTAGCTCATATTTTGTCTTTTTTTTTTTTGCAGTGTAGTGTTTCACTGCAGAAAGTAACAAAAAATAAGTCAAAAATTGCAAACCTTTTGCAAAATGTATCTTCATTTGAGCAATTTTTTTACTGTCTTGAATAAGACTAAATGGCTTTGTCTCGTTGGCAAATCTTGTTTTAACACAGTCAGAATGTGCTCAAATTAAGATAAAAACCACTCGATTTAAGCATTTATTACCTCATTTTTTATCATTTTCTACAGTGTAGTGTTTTTGCCTTTTCCCGTCTCCTCCACACAGCAATGCAAAGTGGTGATGTCATCTGAAACTCAGCAATATTATAAAACCTTCTCCCCACGTTTGCAGTCGTTTCATTCCACAAACTTAATCTCTGCCTGACGTCTTGGTGTGTTTCCAATTTGTTCAGACTTTGCCATAATCATGTAAATTGGCAGATGGACGTTTTTTTTTTAATGCTTTCTAGTCCGGCTCATTCAAATAAGAGGACAGGTTTATTCGGTGAGCGAACATTACCATTTCTGCTGCAGTTCACACTACTGCAAAGAGGATTAACAAGACGATGTTTGGGGAACGTGCAATACTGTTTTTTTTTTCCGTGTTAAAGAGCTCATGAGATCACAGTATGGAAGCAAACAGTTTTTTTCACAAATTGTGTTTTGTTTTTGTAAGATATCAATATAATATTCATGAATTGGGCGACAGTTTAGATGCATCTAGTGCAAGTTAATTCAATTCAACTCAAATAACTTAATTTATCCATAAGGAATTTCATTTACAGACGGAGCGCCAGTGGGGACACATAAAAAAACACAGAAACACCCATCCATCCATCCATTATCTACCCTTTAATCCATTTCTGGGTCAGGGGGGTGGCAATCAGAGATGCCACCCAAGTCTCATAGCACCAGCCCCTCACTGATCCTCTGCAGGTGGTGAGTCCACAGGAGGACGGCTGCTCTCTGAGTGTGAGCATAGCCTTGATCTTTCAGTGGGGGCTTTGGGCAAAGTGGGGTTAAGTGTCTTGCCCAAGGACACAACGACAGCAGTCACAGAAACACAAGATATTAAATATAAATACAATAGCTGGGGTGCCTAACTTTTAAAACAACAAAACAAACCATGTTAAATTGATTAAAACGCCTTATACCGCAATGTGAGGACTATAGGCTGCTACTTACCCTGCGGCTTATATAGAGATGTGTCTAATATATGTAATCTAATGGTGCTAGAGTTGTCAGATCAGAGTTTATAGAGTTATTATTTTGACATCATCAAGTTTTAGTAGCTATCTGTGAATGGGCACGGGCATGGAAGTTACTCACCTCGTTATTATTATTATATTTATGATGAGAACAGTTAAAAAAAATAATCTGAAAACCTGTGGCTTATAGTACAGTGTGGCCTATATATGTGGACACAATTTTATTTATCTTAAAATGTAGGTGGTGTTGCTTATAAACAGGTGTGCCTTAAAGTCCAGACAGTACGGTAGATACTGTATTACCAATCATAATTGTATGTACAAATCTGTCTGTTGTGTCTGTAACAGCCACTGATGATCTCCTGAATTCCCCTTTATGGGATAAATCCATCTATCTGCCACTAGACTCTGAACATTTCCTTGTGATGTCTGTCTTTTAATTTAAATATATGCGTTTTTCTGCACAGGGACTATGGTTGAAACTAGCTTCATGGCTATAATCTGGCATATTTACATTTATTTTATACTGATGTTCATTCATGTGCATTGTCCCTATCGTGGGCGGCACGGTGGCTGAGTGGATAGCACTCTCGCCTCTCAGCAAAAAGGTCCAGGGTTTCGAATCCCGGTCAGACCAGGGCCTTTGTGAGTGGAGTTTGCATGTTCTCCCCGTGTCTGCGTAGGTTTCCTCCGGGTACTCCGGTTTCCCCTACCACTAAAAATATGCACAATAGATCTGGCATGCGCCTCCTGTACTGACGACCCCGCCCAAAAATAACAATTGTAAACCGCTTTGAGACTCTGATCTGCTGTGAAAAGGCGGTATATAAATAAAGATTACTTACTTACAAATAGATAAATAATAAATGAAAATCAGTCAAAATATTATCCAGACGTTTGAGATTGGACATGCAAACCAACAAGGGCGAAGATGGAAAACAACAGTTCTGAGAGAACAGTGTTGTAAAATGGTTAAAACTCAACAAAAACAGCGTCCTTCAGAAGAAAATTACCACATGTCCATACAGAACATTGACAATAGAACACTAATAGATTATACGCCTCATTTACGTCCATCATTTCACCAATTCATCCGGCAAAACGAGGACAGAGAGAGTTAAGAAAACTCGCTAAAAACCGCATTGAGTATTGCAAACTGTGGACATAAAGACTTCAAACATTGACCTCCCAGAAATCTCCCAACACCTCGTAATTGTCTCGATGGCCTTGAGAGAGAAAAACTCATTACGACATATTTCAAGCCGGTGAAAAGAACAGGATGTGTTATTTTATTTTTCTCTCCCCTTTTTTCCTTTTTCAAATAAATCCTCATTATCTAAACGCATGCGGCCGACGTCAAGTCTGTTTACAATGTCATTAACGCTCTCAACACAAAGCCGCCGTCAAGGTTTGTGTTGTGTTGTTGAATAGTCGGCTTTATTATCCTCCAGCGTTTAATGCCGGAGTCCAATTATTCTGCTGTTGGGAGTGTGAGAAAGAGAGGTCCAATAGGCAATAAGGCAGATTTTTTTTTCTTTAAAGCCGTGGCTCTCTATGCTTGTTGTGTGTTGGATTGTATAAAGGTAAAACATAATAGAAATGTTTGTTAGAATGGGAAGTCTAGCTGATGAGGGCGATAAGGTTTTCCATAGAGCCATATCTGGACTGCATATGGCTCGGCACAGCAGTTGCAATTAGCGTAAATGGTAAGGCCAGGCAAGTTTATTTGTATAGAAAAAGAAACGTTAAAATCATACGTGGCATTAAATCCTGAGTGTTGTTTACTTTTGAATGAGCTGGAAACGGCGGCAAGTCCTGAGTGTAGCTTTGAAGCAGTTTTGTGTTTTATGATTGGTATTTTTCTTGCTTTTTTCAGGCGTTTGTGGTTTTTCACTGATCCAGAGCAGAGAGGATGCACGGTCCGAACCAAGCGGATCAAGCTTAAAGATGCAGTCAATGATTTATCCAGACGCAATTTTTTAAATACGGTGGGGAAATGTCCCTAAACCGAAAAAGTAGTGAAGTTATCATGTGTTTTCAAATAGGAATGGACATGACCAGATGCCTGTAACATCAACAAATACATCGTAAATATTTTGAAGCAGATCAATAGAATAGATTTTGACTCGGTGCTACTCAGATGCTAATGCTAAGCTAACATTAATCCTATACAGCACCTTCAAATCCACTGGACAAGTTCTTTTTTGTTTTTTTTATGCTAATAAACCATTTAGAATCTCTCTCTAGGGAAGCACCAATTGTGAACATTTGGGCAGTTACCTATGTGTAAAATAACTTGGCCGATGTTTTTCTTTTTGTTCTTATATACTATATGTATTTTCTGCAGCTTGAATGCAATCGCTGCACTCCGCCTCATGCTTCTCAAGTGTCCAATGAGACGTCGTAAATGATTTTCTAGTTGTCCCCTGTCTTGAAATCTCACTGGAACACGTGCAAACTGCATAACGCTGATCTTTTTCTGATACTGTAAAATATTGCCACACGATCGCCGCCACCTTCTTTGTTTCTTCTACTGAGGAAAGTGCGCAGACGTCCTCCAACTTAAATACTTGCTTCTTTATTATGCCAAAGTTAGAGATTTTATTGTATTTTAGTTAGGGGTGCAACGGTTTGAAAAAATCACGGTTGGTTCGGTTCGTACCTCGGTTCAGAGGCCACGGTTCGGTTCATTTTTCGGTTCATTTTTCAAAAAAAAAGTTTTGTCTTTTTAATAAACACAGCTCATGTGGACTCGGCTCCTGCTCTGACTGCCCCCCTGACCTAGAAATGAATTAAGGGGAAGGAAACGGATGGATGGATGGATGGCATATTCCATCCATCCAATTATGTCTATTTAACATAATTAATGGAAAACAACACAAAGTGCAACATAAGAAGGCACTTTATGAGGATATTTACCCTCATATATTACACCACCTTCCTGATTCTCCCAAGGAGGGGGTCCATTCTGGGCCCAGCCTCATTCACTGCATTTGTTTAATTTTTGGCATTATCAGTTGTGACTGGGATATTAGTACTGGGCCTTTGTCTTCCATTCCTCCGCTGCTTGTGTCAGAACCTGCGCTGTGTGACTGTGTGACTGTCGTAGAGGGGGCGTGTCTTCAGCGCCAGACTTTTCATCTCCCAGTCTGCGGTGATGAAGTGAGCGGTTCCGCTCATGGATCTATTATAGGTTCCGCGGGACGTCCAAGCGTCAGTCGTGAGCGCAGCTGAGGATGCGCGGGAGAGTTGACTTTAGCCCGGTCTGACTGTGCGTAAAGGAGCTGCTTAAACGCCGCGACAACAAGCGGTCGTTGAGACGCTTTTTTCACTCATGTCTTTCTTGTGCCACAGTGCTTACACATCGTGACAGTTTTGTCGACTATTAATCATCAGTGTAGTTACAGTGAAGCCAAAATGCTCTCATACTGGGGATTTAAATGACGCGGGGCTTTCAAGCATCTCCGTTCCTCCGCTCGCAATGACCGCGCTGTGTGTGGACTGAACAACGTGCGCACAACATTTTTTTCATAAATCAAACCGCGGATCACGTCTGTACCGAACCGAAGACGTTGAACCGAACGGATCACGGATCAGTGATGAACCGTTGCACCTCTAATTTTAGTAGAGTGCTCCTCATTCCTACTGTTTTGTAACCGATGACGCAACACTGGCATTTCTCCACTGTGAGACGAATAGAGGATTTCTTAATCTTAATCCTAATCTTAATTTCATACTGTGTTTGTGATCACCTCTGCTGTGCTGGCGGTTCACTATCCCCCCCAGAGTCCAGCGCCGGTCCAGCCTCTTCAGATGGGCCTTGCGTCTCTTAGTCACTGCAAAACGGGGGAAAGCAACAAAAAACGGAGTTAGTATAAGAAGGAAAAGCATTGGGAGGATTACAAAACGGCAAAAAAGTTAGTTTGATTGAATTAGTAAAGTGTTGCGTTCTTGCTCAATCCACAAATTAATTTTCTCATTTTTCAAATTTAGAGAGGGAGGGCCGGAGTTGTAATGCAAGGTAAATTACTACATTTTAAATAGGCGGGGTTAATGCTGCACAAGGGAACCAGCAAAAGATATCTCTGTTACGCCGATCCGGGCGCACACACCAAGCGGCACGTACATTGACCTGCTGTGTGTGTGTGTGTGTGTGGACTGCAAAAAAATATAAAATATGAAGTTTTTTTCTTAATAAATGTAAGTACATTCTGACCGTCTTAAAACAAATTGGCAAATCTTGTTTTAAGATTAGATACTTTATTGATCTAAAAATGGAGAAATTCAAGTAATTTTGAGGCAGTTTAAATGGGCTCAAATTAAGATACAGTTAGCCAAATTTGAGCACATTTTGAGTTATTTTTTAATAATATTTTGCAGTGTGTGTGTGTCTTTCTTTCTGTCTAGCAACATTTAAAAGGTCTTGTTTTTTGTCCAAATCTTGTTATTTTACCACAAAAATCTCCAACCAAGTCGTACATAACAGGAAAATTGATCTGCTTCTCATTCTTGTTTGCTCAAAAAACACTGGAGTTCCTGACTCTCAAACCACAATAAATGAACTAGTAAATGAAAAGTAATATCCATCAAACTTTTTCCTGGCTCTAAAACCGTTTTGTATCAGTAGTTTTCCACATACAAGTATGTTTTAGCCTCTGCCACATTTTCAGACCAGCTCTTTTAGACAAAAACGTTAAAAAGAGAGACTCACTCTTGCGCGGCCAATCAGCTCTCAGCCCAAAGCGTCCAATAGTGACTCACAGGGCTCTTTATGCAAACTATTTTCTAATACAATGAATACAGAATGTTGTGTGTCAGTTTTGGAACTGTTTCTGTTGGAAATTGGGGCATGTATCATTGATGAAACAAGAACATTTAGCCCCACCTTTAAATGAATTTATCTATATGTCTATGTATTTATGTATTTGAACAGTATTCATTCTGCTCAAAAGGAGCGGGCTGAAGCAAGAAGCGTATGAGCACCCCCACCCCCGCCCCCAAAACTCAACACAACCAAACTTTTCACATCACAATAAAAAGTACAGAACATAGACCGCGCCATGCGCACCACCCCGCGCCACGCCGCCCCGCACCAAGCTGCAACGCGCTGCTCCACAACGCCCCGCACTTGGCCGCACCACACCGTACCACGCAGCATCGCGCAAAGGAGGTGGCGCCGCCGTGTGATGATTTATTCCCGTAGCAATAGAAGAATGTTAGTCATTCTTTTATTGCTAGATGATGTGGAGCGATTTTGAGGCGAATCGGTGAAACGGCCGAGGAGGAGTCGCTTTCCAACCGACATGTATGAAAACTATTGCTGTTCATTTTTCTATTTTGAAAAAACAATAGGCCCTTTCCCCGTTCGGGCTCGGGCCTAATAAGGAATAGATCATATAATTACCCATGTCTTATTGAAAGTAGAGAAAAATAAAGTTGTATTAGTCAAATAAAATAGTTTTAAATTCCCCACCAGGCAGAACAACCAAAGCAGCAGCTCGACCAAAATAATAATCTGATGATAGAGACTAAAAAAACTGGTAACACTTTACATTACGGGCCGGTAAGTCCATGGTACTTACAGTGGTACTTCTAGGTACTTACAGTGGTACTTCTAGGTACTTACAGTGGTACTTACGATGGTACTTACGGTGGTACTTACGGTGGTACTTACGGTGGTACTTACGGTGGTACTTACGGTGGTACTTACGGTGGTACTTACGGTGGTACTTACAGGGGTACTTACGGTGGTACTTACGGTGGTACTTACGGTGGTACTTACAGTGGTACTTACAGTGGTACTTACGGTGGTACTTACGGTGGTACTTACGGTGGTACTTACGGTGGTACTTACGGTGGTACTTACAGGGGTACTTACGGTGGTACTTACGGTGGTACTTACGGTGGTACTTACAGTGGTACTTACAGTGGTACTTACAGTGGTACTTCTAGGTACTTACAGTGGTACTTCTAGGTACTTACAGTGGTACTTACGGTGGTACTTACGGTGGTACTTACGGTGGTACTTACGGTGGTACTTACGGTGGTACTTACAGGGGTACTTACGGTGGTACTTACGGTGGTACTTACAGTGGTACTTACAGTGGTACTTACAGTGGTACTTACAGTGGTACTTCTAGGTACTTACAGTGGTACTTCTAGGTACTTACAGTGGTACTTACGGTGGTACTTACGGTGGTACTTACGGTGGTACTTACGGTGGTACTTACGGTGGTACTTACAGGGGTACTTACGGTGGTACTTACGGTGGTACTTACAGTGGTACTTACAGTGGTACTTACAGTGGTACTTCTAGGTACTTACAGTGGTACTTCTAGGTACTTACGGTGGTACTTACGGTGGTACTTACGGTGGTACTTACGGTGGTACTTACGGTGGTACTTACAGGGGTACTTACGGTGGTACTTACGGTGGTACTTACAGTGGTACTTACAGTGGTACTTACAGTGGTACTTCTAGGTACTTACAGTGGTACTTCTAGGTACTTACGGTGGTACTTACGGTGGTACTTACAGTGGTACTTACGGTGGTACTTCTAGGTACTTACAGTGGTACTTCTAGGTACTTACGGTGGTACTTACGGTGGTACTTACGGTGGTACTTACGGTGGTACTTACGGTGGTACTTACGGTGGTACTTACAGGGGTACTTACAGGGGTACTTACGGTGGTACTTACAGTGGTACTTACAGTGGTACTTACAGTGGTACTTACAGTGGTACTTCTAGTGGTACTTCTAGGTACTTACAGTGGTACTTCTAGGTACTTACAGTGGTACTTACGGTGGTACTTACGGTGGTACTTACGGTGGTACTTACGGTGGTACTTACAGTGGTACTTCTAGGTACTTCTAGGTACTTACAGTGGTACTTCTAGTGGTACTTCTAGGTACTTATTGTGGTACTTACAGTGGTACTTCTAGGTACTTACAGTGGTACTTAGAGGTACTTATTGTGGTACTTACAGTGGTACTTCTAGGTACTTATTGTGATAATTCTAGATACAGCTGTAACTTAGTAATTCAAGGACACTACAGTATTATTCCTATGTAGTAAATGTGGTACTTCTACATACATACATACAGAGGTCATTTGTAGGATTGTTTGACTATAAAACATAAAACAACATTATGTAAAACAAAAGTCTTTATTAATATGGAATAAGTAGCACAGAAAGGACAGTATAAATACATTTAATGCATATTTCAAAACAAGTTTCAAGGACAAGGGAAACACTGCAAGAACTAGGTACCCAACCCAAGTAACAAGAATTACACATTACCAGGTACTTACCAGCCAAGTACCAGGTACTTACCAGCAAGTACCAGGTACTTACCAGCAAGTACCAGGTACTTAACAGCAAGTACCAGGTACTTAACAGCAAGTACCAGGTACTTACCATAGGGACTGGCCCATAATAAGACAAAGGACTTTAACATAAGTACCAGTGATAACACCAGTAATTATATAGTAAGTACCAGGTACTTACCATAGGAACTGGCCCATAATAAGACAAAGGACTTAGCCATAAGTACTAGTGATACCAGTAATTATATAGTATACCATGTACTTACCAGCAAGTACCATGTACTTACCAGCAAGTACCAGGTACTTACCATAGGGACTGGCCCATAATAAGACAAAGGACTTTAACATAAGTACCAGTGATAACACCAGTAATTATACAGTAAGTACCAGGTACTTACCATAGGGACTGGCCCATAATAAGACAAAGGACTTTAACATAAGTACCAGTGATAACACCAGTAATTATATAGTAAGTACCAGGTACTTACCATAGGAACTGGCCCATAATAAGACAAAGGACTTACCCATAAGTACTAGTGATACCAGTAATTATATAGTATACCATGTACTTACCAGCAAGTACCAGGTACTTACCAGCAAGTACCAGGTACTTACCAGCAAGTACCAGGTACTTACCAGCAAGTACCAGGTACTTACCAGCAAGTACCAGGTACTTACCAGCAAGTACCAGGTACTTACCAGCAAGTACCAGGTACTTAACAGCAAGTACCAGGTACTTAACAGCAAGTACCAGGTACTTCGGAAGAGTACGTTTAATAATAAAATAAACGTATGACGCACCTCTGTGAACACATTCTGCTGGGTTAATAAAGTCTCTGGAAGGTCTCAGACACAGAGTACGCAGCAAAGCGGCATTATTGGGTAGAACTTACGCAAAAAAGCGCTAGCTTAACTCCGTTAGCATCAAAGGTCCAACCGTACTTCCGCCAATTCCGGCGCTCGCCACCCGCAGGCCAGGCTCCTGCATCTAAAACCGTGAGAATTTAGTCTGATTGCGCGAGGCGTCGTTCCTGCATCGGTGGTGTGAAAGACCTCTAGATCCTTCCGTAGGAGCAAATCCCGCTCTCAATGTGAGCCTCCCCCAGATATTTCTCACACTCCTAGCCTATCTCAAAATTAGCTGCCACAATGTTTTATATTGCCTAAAAGCGTAGGAGGAGACCACATGTTGTCTTGGTTTTAGCATCAGGACTGTAGCGCTGCAGTTGTGCAACCGTGTGTGGGGGTTTGTGTGTGTGTACAAGCGTGTGTGTGTGCAGTGTGTTTGAATGGGGTGTTGCATGGACATGTGTGTGAATGATGGGAGGTACTGACAGTCAAGAAGTATTGGCGGCCTCATTGCATCAGTTTGCATACAAGACACCTGTGGCTTACAGTAGTAATTAATATTGGAGCCATTTGTTAGCCAGCTTAGAGTTAATGGTTGTGTGGAAAGTATTCAAAGATGGGAAACTTTCCATGGGAATGGGAGTTATAGGAATTATTGGGGATTTATGGGACTACACAGGAAATAACTGCGGATTTTTCCAAATTGAAGGTTGGCTCTCATTAAAAGAAAAAATACACATTCCTAAAATCTATTATCTTGACTCTAAAACAAAACAGGTGTCATTTCAAAGACCTTTTGATTGTCTGTAGTTTTTCATTTAATAGTGGGCTCACTGCAGCAGTTATTTGAGGACCACACCCCTACAGCATGTGCATGTCTCCGTCACACATACAGAAAACATTTTCAAGAAGTCAAACTTACTTTTGTAGCCAAAGCACAAGAGCTGTGTTGTTCACAGGCTCAAGTGTTTCCCTTCAATAAAGTGATGTAATGCTTTTGATCACATTATTGGGAACTTGTATTCTACTCAAAATAAAGAGCTGTTCCAGGTGCAGACGCATTTCCTTCGCATCTTCGTCGTGCTGAGATGTCAGTAGCATGCTTTAGGGTTCACGGATACGGGCGCTAATGCTGTGTGGTACCACGATGCCTGCGCTGCGGCTTTTTACAACGTTCACATCCCTCCTTGGATACGAGTGTGGAGGTTGTCTGACATGTTTTAAGTCAAGGGCCTTTGGAGAGAGGTGGACTGCTGCTGAACCTGTCCCAAAGGGGATCAACACGTAAGCCGCACTGCGACTGGTCAATCAAAAAATCTCACAGAGAGAAGTTTTCTGTTTGAAAAGCCAAAAAAGGGAAATGTGATCTGATACTGACACGTTCTGCTCTTTTTAGAAGTGATGTGACTTTTTGTGGTGATTATGTTCCTCCCATAGATGAATATTGAAAGTTATTGGCTTTTAATCTTAATTCACATGGCTTTATTACACAATCTTGGTCACATATCTATCAAAACCCAATAATCTTTTTATATATTCATCTTTAGAATGTCATTCTTTTCAATACTGAGATTTTGTTTAAATTTTTTTTAATGCCCTGTGGTTTACATCTTGTTGTGCTTTGTGTCTGACGTCGTGCTGTACAAAAACTACGTGAGTGTTTGGTGGTGTTGTGCAAAACCTAGACACATTCCAGGGTGTGGGGTGAATGTCTTGGCACAAAGGACACTTCAACAGTTTTTCACTTTACTGCACATCTGTTTCACTATAGCATCTGATGTTTACAGAAGAGTATTTGTTCCCAGGTTATAATATATGATATTTATTTCATTATCATAATATATCATTTATTTTATGATGGGGCTAAATGTAACTTTGCATATTTGTTGCATTGTCTTGGTTGACAGGGGACCAAAACCAACACCACCGGAAGGGCTATTCTAATGAGCTGTGTGTTCTTGTCCCTTGGAGAGAATGTGAGGAGAGGCTGGTACATTTTCATTTTCTGATTGCCATTATATTTTACCTTTTTGGAACGTTTTTTATTTCATCAGATGTGTGCACATATTGTGATATACAATTCAAATAGCACAGGACATGGTTTGCAAAAGGAGCTAGAAGCAAAATGCCTACACGCCACCGACCCACATAGCTGACAGACACAGACAAAACATAGTACAAGCACATGCATTAAGAGTGCTAAAGAATATCATTGCAGTATCACTACGGAAACGCGCAACACTAAAATACTACAGGAATAAAACGCATAGCATACCCTGTGTAGGTGCGCATGTCTTCGACTTTACACCTCCTCTCTCCCACCCTTCTCTCTGTGCTTAAGGCATCCCTCTCCTTCGATTTCATCCACATATTTCATTTCAGATTCTTCTTTTTTAAAACATTTAGACTCAAAACCATCCCCTTCTGGGCTAATTTCTGCCATAGTTCTGGAAAAACTTTAAAAACATGATAAAGTTGTAAAGGGTCTATGAGAGTTTGATATCAGTCAAAATAAAATAAAAAAAATTCTTTCTCTATGATGTTCATCAAACCAACATTGCGTCCGGGAGAAAACAAGGTTATGCCATAGATTCTCGAGAGCCCCAGCAGTGGCACGCTCACAGGGCTGTCCTGCTGTCCTATTGATCGCTTGATTGGTTCAGTCATGGATTTATGGACGGAGGAGGAGGATGACATGACCTTGTGCAAATCTAAGTAAAGTGACATTTTCCCACGCTTGTCCTTGGCTAAATTGCTTTCTGCAGTGAAATTGTTGACTTTGTAAAACCAGCTATACTAAATTAAAAGAGCGTTATGTTATGTTATGTTATCGGTTTACATTGTTGTCTTGGTGTTGAGAGTACGAACAAAAAGTGCCAGTGCGTAAGTAGTTAAACATCTTGGATAATATTGTGATACAGTCTCCTTCATACCAATAACTTCTCTCAATAAGTACCCACTACATTTCTCAACATCAACTAAACGCTGGCGCCTAAAGGGTTAATCATTATTGCTATACTGTTATTATACAGAGAAAGTCTGGCTACAACTAAATTTCTCTCAAGCGATTTTGCTTGAGTCATTTTTGATTTGCATGCTCTATGAATTATTTCACATGCTGTTTGCGACTTTTTGTACTTGCGAGCGCGGGACGTGGAACTGCAAGTGCACAGTTAGCTAAAGCTGCATCCAGTGTTCAAGCTTGAAGCCATCCCGTGGGGTGCTGTGCCGTGACGCATTTCGCAGGACTGCACAGCGCATCATCCCGAGTGTGAGGAGAACACTTCCGTAATGAGCAATGAGTCGACTTTATTGGCCAGGGCGCTCGTTCCCTCATCGCTGCTTATGTTACGAGCCGCATCAGCGGAACTTGTATGGTAGCGGGATTGTCACCTCTGTTCAAATACGCGCCGCCATGCCGAGACACGCGTGTTCAACAGGAAAGGACATATTACAGGTTAATGTGATGAGGAAAATATTAAGCCTGTCCAGCAGCCTGTTTTTATTCATCAAAGGAGCAATTAGACGACTCGCTCTGGCACCTTGGTCGCAGGAAAGGTGATGGGGAAAATGTGATTGCTTGCCCTGGCGATTTAAACGCACTGATGATGTTGAAGCTTTGTTTCTGGCGCCTCACTTTTATTAGCTGGCCTCCTGTTAATCTGCAAAGCATTTAAAAGCCCTCGGCGTGATTTCGCACTCAGCGTTTCGAGACGTTTAGCGCTGTAATTATACACGGGAGGAATTAGATCATTGCAGTGTTGCAAGAGTGTTAAAGCATGTTTTTAATAAAATTGGACTATCCAAGCTGATTCATTTTGTGGTGAGGTAATTATACCACGGGCGCTTCCAAATGAGCTGGAGAAAAAAGGGGAAAGTGGGCTTAAAAAGATGGCAACATAAACTTATACACCTTGCTTACTGTCAAATACTGCCAAGATTCAAATATAAAAATAAAATTTATTGTATAAATGGCTTTACAGTTCTGTTAAAACCAAATGCCACATGCCCATGTCCCCGTCAACAAAACCGACTCCCGGGCATGCAAGCATACCTCTAAATTCAGATTCAGTTTCTTTATTTCGAACTGTTTGATTCTCTTATCTGTTGTTTGGAACAATGTCTACTTTGAAGTCATTTCCGAGAACTGCTGTTGTATTTAGGGTTTACAAAAATAACATTGATTTTAAAAGTGAATTTTTCTACGTGTAGTTCTCAAGCACATTGGAAACACGGGCTCGTTATGTCTCTTTAAAGAATCTACAAGCAGTGAAATGTTTACCCACTCGGAACAAAAAAAAAAATGTCTTCCACATTCTATCTTAATTTTGATTCCGTTTTCGGGCTTCTGTTCCGCCGTGTTACTTGGGACCCGTAATTGACTTACCAAGGTTTGCTTTTCTCCGCTTTGGGAACAGGGGAGCGTCAGAGCACAGTGTTCAAACCTGCAGAGAGGGGGGTGAGGGGACAGGAGGGGGTGTTTTTGTACTTTTAAAATAAGGCTTGCCCACTGACGACGGCACAGGTCAGGTTAGGCAACTGTGTTGGATTTTCTGGAGATGTCTGGTCTTTGCCCACAAGACGAGACAGCAAGATTCCAATGTGTTTTGTTATGTAGTTCATTCGGGATCTCACACAATCCTTCAAACTCCTTCAAAATATATTTCCTCACCCTATTTCACGGTAGAATTGCCAAAAAGTGAATTCTCAAGCAAGTCAATTGTAAAAAGATTGCTTTCTGTGTTACCATTAGAAAGGGACAATTAGACCGTAAACCTGAGCTTTCTGAAATTTCTATAATTCCAGCGCACCATTTTGAAAATCAATAAGAACTCTGAAAAACATGCAATAGTTGCAATTGTAACTCTGCTCAGCACCTGACTCACCACTTCACGACTCCCTCTGAGGTCATCTTTTGTTGTGTCTTGGGCATGACACTTAACCCACTTTGCCGAGCCCCCGCTGAAGATCAAAGGCTTCCATGGGCTCACCACGCAGGAGGGTAACTAAGGTGGGTGTGAAATGGGTGCAGCCTCTGGAACGGCCACTCCCCGACCCAGAAGAGAATTAGGGGGAAGACAATGGATGGATGGATGCAATTTTGACATATATTTATTGTATAAGATAAATGATGTTATATATAGAATGCAATCTTTTTTACATTGACTTGCTTCGAATTCCCTTTTTGGCAACAATTCTACCTGAAATAGGGGTGACGAAATATTATTAAATTATATATATTTTTATTTAGTATATAGTCTATATAATTTATATATATATTATATATATATATTAGGCGCTGTCAAAATTAATCACGTTAATTCACGTTACGATATCATTAACGCGTTGGAAAAATAATTAAACGCATTAACTGCCAATGACGTGTTAACACGTCATTGCGTTTCCGCTATTTTCACGTTCACAGATGTCTATGGCATAAAAAGGTAAGGCTTGAGGCAAGATTTTACGAGCCAGAAGATTGCAGCATTGCTCTATGAATTGAGTTTGAAAACAGTAGATGCCACAGCAAGAAGGGTAGCGGCGCAGGTTTTGCAATTTTGGGTAGGCGCTGATTAGTAAGTTAGGCCAAAATTCGCTTGCAAACTACAAGGGCTAGCTGGAATTGGGGTTTCAAGAAATATGGCTTAATACGCACAACACGCACGCACACGCGACGCACATTCACACAAGCTCATTTATGAAAACTTGCGTAGAAAAGGTGTAACATTTTGGGTGTATATTCCATTTACGCTCAGATCCGCCCAGTTCTGGCGTACGCAGTGTCGGGTGTTGTTAATCGGCAGAATACTGAAACGTTTAGTCACGCCAGAATTATGCAGCAATCGAGTGATTCCACGCCCCGTCTTTGTGATAGGTCAGCAGGAGCGGCCAAAAAAGATGTTTGGAAACCTCAAAAGGCACGTTCTGTTCTGTTCATTGTGTTTATGCAATAATAAATATGCGTGCGTTTTGAACAAATTTGCTAAAATCTTTTGTACATTAGAATAATCCTTTTGAATTGTAGAAGTGAATAAATATAGATTGATTTGACAACTATGAACGAAATTGATTCATATATTATTTGCCAGAGTTTGTGTGGC